AGGATAACCCAACATCATCAACATAATTTAATAACTGAGCAAAACCTTGTAAAATCGTTTGGAAAGTTGTCATATGTGTTCATATAAACGAGAAAGACTTTTTATTTCACAATTAGATCTGTTCACGCTGACCAAAATGCATATAGACAAGATAGAATGTGTGAAAAGGGTTTTCGGGAAGCGTGTTTGAAATATTTCACCCAAGTTGATTTTTCTAGAACATCTGGACAAAAACAGTGTAACACAAATGGCAAAAAACATCTCGTGTCACGAACTTTCGCGTACTTAGATTTTCATTCCGAAAAACATATTTACACTCATTTTAGTCATACAGAAGTCCAAAACTACAAGTGGAAAAAAGGAAAAATAATATGTTAATATGTCTCTTGCAACATTAGAATTTGAAATTTTGGCTGGGCAAATGCTCCTCATACTGAATCGTCCTTTAACTTTGTACGAAGTTCAACCACCAAAAACAACATTTGTTCAATTGAAATCAACACCGAGTTATCTGATTCCTCTAGTGGTGAAGTTTTGATATTGTTTTATGCAGGTGTCAGTTTCAATTTAAACAAAACATATATCGAATAAAACAAAATTCGTAACTGTAAATAAATGCAGCTGTATAAAGAAGCCATTTGAAAGCGATACTACCGTCGGTTATCTCCCCTTTTCGGGGAAATACCGCTTTCTCATCAATGCTTCTTGCTTTACTCAGCATCTCCTAGAAACCGGAAGATGACGTTCATCTACAACCGGTGGTTTAACATATTTTGAGAAATTATTGGCAGGAGACCACGATAATCCGACAACAGAGAGTATGTACGCCCCATCGATGAGAACACATTCATAGACCTCAAGGCTATTTTTTCAGTTTGAGGAATTAACTAGGCGGCCTTAAAAGACGGATGTTGGGGAGGGTGTAGCGTTGGCAGTTGGGGGGATTATCGTGATATTGGGGATTACCGTCATATTTTAGCTTTAACTCTCTGGAACAAACCTGCCTTCGCCATTAGGTCAGTCAGAGGATCTGTTCTCGTGATGAGCTGTTGAGGTGAGTTGGGGGATATACCTAGTTCATGTCTTGTCCTTTGATGTTAGACGTTTCATTGCGAAATTGAATCCTTATCAATTTATCATTTGGAAGTTAAATCATGTTACATTAGATAGTATTTCAAATAAATATACGCGTTATACTGTTTGTGCGAATGTTTTCAGGATCTCATCAGGATTCAAACCAATATATTTTGTTAAAAAGGGAAGTGTTTTTTATGTGTTTTTTATCCATAGACTCTCCGAGATAGTGAAGTTATTCCAAACTGAAAATGTTAACATATCAACACAAGCCGATTTCATAGGTACATACTAAGACATACTTATTTAACCTGAAGCACCTTTGTAAAATGAATACTTGATTATGTAGCCAGTTAACATCTCCTTAAGATCGCCGCGAATAGCTGCGACATAGCTGATGCTGCGTTTAGCAATATTCACTCACTCACTCTGCTTAAGTAAGCAGAGCTTCGTTTCTACGGAAAACTCGCGTGCCATTTACTGAGGAGAGTGTCAAACGTTATGGTGAATCTGGACATTTGGTATTCCGGGCAGTTTCAGTGGAAACAACACCGTCCGGACAAACGAGATTAGCAGAGGTTTTTTCATCACTGATATTCCGTGATCCAAATATATAATTTCCACTACTTTTTGCCTTTAACATCCAATGGAATCGAGTCGGCAGATAATACAGACTCGCTATTCTCTGGCGTTTATATTTTATATTTGCTCGTACCTAATTCCCAAAACAATCTGGACAAATTTTGTTTTGAATACATGTAGATTACATCTCAAAGGCATCTTCAAAAAATCATAGGGCGGTAGGTTAGCCTAGTGGTTGAAGAGTTCGCTTGTCAAGCCGAAGATCCGGGTTCGGTTCCCCACATGGGTACAATGTGTGAAGTCCATTTCTGGTGTCCCCCGCCGTGATGTTGCTGGAATATTGCTAAAAGCGGCGTAAAACCAAACTCTGTCGGTCAGTCAGTCTTCAAAAATCATAGGGCGGTGGGTTAGCCTAGTGGTTGAAGCGTTCGCTTGTCAAGCCGAAGATCCGGGTTCGGTTCCCTACATGGGTACAATGTGTGAAGTCCATTTCTTGTGTCCCCCGCCGTGATATTGCTGGAATATTGCTGGAATATTGCTAAAACTCACTCATTCTTTTCATCCACAGCCATACTTTTCATACTCACTCTAAAATTACAAGTATTCCTTCGTGCTAGGAAAGTCACAACTTGAGATTAATTTCAGCAGGGATTGAAACTCTTATAATCTGTTTCTGAAAGTCGATTGTGAAGTTATGTCCATGTTTGTCGGACCACAAGACGAATGAACCCATGGCGCCCCGAAACCCCGACAACTGTAGTCCATACAAGCACTGTGAATCTTAAGTATGTGTAAATAAAAAACTGGAGCTACTTCCTGGTATCCGAAACAATAAACATGTACGCCATTGTGACGAACAGAATGAGTGAGTTTTTTTCAGTCGGTCTGGACGCTGAAGACCATTGCATGAAGAAGGCCGCCATTGTTTCACGACCAGAGGGGCTTATAAAGTTAATCGGCTTAGGCATGTCTCTGTTTGGCCCAGGATCGCCTTAACGTAATGTAATTCGTGGCGACCGGATATGATTTCATGAATGAAACAAAGTGCACAAGGATGTTTATATGAAATAAACAGTTCCCTTGTCGGTTGCTGAAATGCATGGTATGTTATAGAATTAAGCTTGGCCAATATGGTTACAGCTACACATTTCCTCAAAGTTAAACCGTAGCAGTTGGGGCTGAGGACGAGCTGTAGGCAAGATCACTGTATTTTGTGACTCTCATGACACAAAGTACGTGTATTTTGAAGGCGTATTTCACGAACACCTGGTGTCATCTTTGATTGCGCTTTGGGTCCCGTTCTTAGAATATTCAGAATATTTTGCCTCATACGCCCATTGGAATCTCTTTCCATAGATAAGCGTCGATGTTTAGATAAACTTGTATATTTGATAGTTTTTCAGAGGCATATAGAAGTTGGAATTCAAGTATAAAACAAAATATTATGGATGTCAACTTCTTCTTTATTGTATACACAACAAAGCAAAGAAAAGCCCAGAAACGTTGTGTATACAATAAAGAAGAAGTTGACATCCATAATATTTTGTTTTATACTTGATAGTGATTTGCAACTGTATACTCGTCATAACGCTGTAGATAAAACGAACTGTACTTATGCGGACATTTCACAAACAGTTTTGTGATACTGGGTCTGTTGCAAATGGATATTAATTTTAGCTGCAAGTGTGTGATGTATGCTGCGTTTGCTAAAACGAATCAACATATTGAAAAACGAAACTGTTGACTTTTTCTCACGTCTCAAATTCTTCCATCGTCGTTTCGTGCACAACGTCAACTGGTGAATTCCCATGATTTTTCAAAGAATGTCCAGTAAACGATTTTTATGAATTCTTTGTTGTTTACCTTGAGGACAAATTATTTGTTTGGAATCCGAAACGCCACATCCCAACCCCCATCCGAATATAAAATGATCGTTCTCTAAACTAGACATCATCAGAGCAAACTCTATTCATTCTCTCGATTTTTGCAATAGTTCCAACCATTCAAGGAAATCAACTTTCATTTCCAGAATTATTCTTTCAATCTTCATACCCTATATTCTTTGTCCGAATTGTTGATAGTCTTACTTTAGTTCTGTTCTCATCCAACTTTAACAGTCCTTTGACGAAGACAATGGTAGGAATACATCAACAAAGAATTTGGAACGCTGTACTTGTGATGACATTATCGTGGAATCAGAATACCCCAAAATCCACAGCGTTTGAATCAGCATTGGGAATTCCACAGACAAGCTGTGACGACACAAGGAGTGTTTTCCATCCGCCACAAAAAACGGATCCATTTTTGGCTGAAAATATTCGGATGCGGAAGCAAATGCTCGTCTATTGTTTTTGTGAAAACACTTTTCAGCGCACATCTGGGTGGACCTGGATAAAAACATCGACAGGCGTCATCAGCCAATATTACAGTCAGTTAAGGGCTTTATGTTGTTGAAAGGTATTTCTTCCTTATTTTCTCTGTGTATTTGGACTTGTGGCGGTAAAAGAGGGCAAATAGTTATTCAATAATTCAAATTAATCCCACTGTGTTTGAAAGTTTTCCGACCAATGCATACACAAATTATGCTTAATGAGCAAATGTAAATATTCTCGCCCATGGGCGAGATATTTTAATAACGTTCTAAATTAGCCGAAATAAGTTAAAATGAGTAATTATAATGATATCTATAAATACTTTCATTCATATACAACCCATACAACATGTATTATGAGCAAAAACGTAAACATTCTCGCGCTTGGGCCGGCCCATGGGCGAGGTAGTTTAAATATTTAGTTTTTGAAAAAATATTTTTAATTTTTTCATCCTTAGCATATGTTATTGATAACTGCATGTTGAATGTTTTCAAGATGCTCTGTCAGAAACTGGCCACATTTGGGGGTTCCAGAATTTTGGGGTTCCAGAATTAAATTGTGACGCGTTATACACAAACTGATGCATAACTCTTTGTTTATCAACAATCAACAATCCAGTGTCAGATTCTGAAATGAAAACATACTGCAAACAAATGATTCATCCGTTATGTCGTATTTTCTCCAACTTCTACGTTTTCCCGGATGCCCTGAAGGCACAGGGAGGGTTTATTTAAACTATGTTCGATGGGTCGTTTTGACCTAAAGCTTACATCACAAATCATCTCACCCAAATCGTGCCCCAAAACTTACCCTCCCAAGTGTTGCAACGTATACATTGACCCAAATCACATCGAAAAGCTACACTCAAACATGACTGGTACCATTCGGAATCAGTCCTCGATGTTTGTTCATCTCTTCAAGAGCAGACGATAATTGCATCTCCCCAGTATTGGTTAAAGTTGGGTCACCCGAATGTCGTCTGCTCGCCACCTGGAGGGAGCCGACGTCACAGCGCGCGGAGTTGGGTGCAAGGTTCCCGTGCTTGCAGAACGTGCTTGTTGCAAAGACATACCATCGCTGTTGGCAGTGTTGCCTCTCGCCGCTGTTTGTTGCCATCAGAAGTGGTGTCCTCCCAGTCTGATATGTGTCACTGAACCGCCACCCTTACATGCAAGATTCCGTATCGTGTCTGCCTGACTCTGACCGCGATGACCTTACCGTGACCCGAACGTTGAAAACAGTATTTGTCAGGAAATGCTGGTAGTTTAGTGCCACTGCGCAGGCTCCTGCAGGCTCACCATTCGCATGTACTCGGTTAATTCCGTTATGTCACTGTAACGTCACACCACTACATGTTCTGCACACAGTGTGTACAGAATCTCGGCATCTTATGAGAAATGCCTATTGCATGGTTAATTTTAAGTCTGTTGGTTTACGAATTTGTTGGTTGGTTTAACGCCACGCTCAGCATTATTCCAGCTCTATGGCGGCGGTCTGTAAGTAATCGAGTCTGGACCAGACAATCCAGTGATCAGCATCAGAAGCATCAATCTACGCACCTGGGATGCGATGACATGTGTCAACCAAGTCAGCGAGCCTGCACAAATGATCCCGTTAGTCGCCTCTTACGACAAGCATGGGTTTAAGAATTTGTATTGGAGCAACATTGCATAGTTGATATTGGGGTTTAAATTCTCGTCCAAGAGAGAGAGAGAGTAGTAATTCTGTCTTAAATCCATGTCAGGGACACATGGAATTCTTTTAACGTTAAGAAATATGAAAATACTACTTCTAGAAATTAGATCTTGAACTCAGGTCGGAGGCCTCTGTCTACTAGACATATTCTGGCCCCAAAGGGATAACATACTCATAAAATCTGCATGTTATTTGTAGACTAAACCAAAATGATAAATGAGAGTGACTTTACACTTCCATGAATAGAATTTCAGTCTTATATCGGTATGTGTGTTGTTTAACGCCGGGGGCAGTGGGGTGGCCTAATGGTTAAAGCGTTGGCTCGTCACGCCGAAGACCCGGGTTCGAATCCCCACATGGGTACAATGTGTGAAGCCCATTTTTGGTGTCCCCCGCCGTGATGTTGCTGAAATATTGCTAAAAGCGGCGTAAAACCAAACAGTCAGTCAGTCAGTTCAACGCCGCACTCAGCAATATTTTTCAGCTGTATGACGGCGGTCTGAGTCTCGACCAGACATTACAGTGACTGACATCATGAGCATATAGATCAATGAAATTGGGATACAGCAACTGTGCCATCGTCTGATACAGACAGTCCGTGTACATAATTGATAAACTTATCTCAAACTGATGTCTGTATTGCAGTTCAACATAACTTCCTTCCCGGGAGCTTAGATCTCAATTGAATGCTACCATGTGATTCTTGCACAGATGTTTTTCAGGCACAGGAGCTCCTCCGGAGAAAACGAATATTTGTTTTATTTACGTTTACAGAGGATTTAAACGGTTGGAAATTTTCGACTTGGCGCCGTGAAAGATCACCTTTCTGAAATGAGATAGGTCAGGGAACGTTGTATGGTGTTCCTCCTTCATTTACATTCAAATGCACATCGTGCAGGGTACGTCGCCACCAGGTGTCGCAGTACTCGGTCAATAGAGGGCGCCACCAATGCATGTGGTGCATGCGCAAACAGTGATTTTTAAGAAATGGAAACTTGACGGAAAATTCCACGTTCGCCTGGCCGCGTAACGTTAGGGACGAGGGGATGAACTGATGGGGTTGAAGAAAGGGCTTCTGCTGCTGGTTGTGAATCATGATTCATCTCGGAGGTAGCTGGGGCGTCTCTTGTCTTCTCGTCACGATCCGTGTACACTGCAGAGGCATTCCGCTTTACAGCAAAACCTTGCTTGTCCGGAAACCTGGCTTATCAGCGATGAAAAACATTTTCAATCAAAAGAATTATCTTCAATATACATCGTTCTTTTTCGATTGTAAGTGAATCATTATCTTTTTGAATCTCCATCATTTAGTCAAATAGACACACGTGAAGGATATATTCGTTATTTGCTCATGATGGTGGAAGTCAGTAAATTTCAGTGCCACACTATAAGCGAGCGAGAGTTTCTGGAAAAGATACTTGATCTAATACAAAAAGAAAAATCATGATAATGTTAAATAACTAACGGGCCATTGTTCCCACCTTTGTGTTACATCAGTGTCACCAGAAACTCTTTAAAACACTGGCTACCACCAGCGACCACATCTTAAAACCTAGCCCTGCTCCAAGCTGTACTGAATGCTGAGCCCATGGAGGTATAGTAATTCTATCCTTCGAAGAGGCAAGTCTAGATAAGCGGACAGCACAGGACCCCAGGCTGTTATTAATTAGTTTTTGAAAATTATCATTCAAACTATTACTTTTTACCTTAGAGACTTGTGGAAGTCTACTTAAAACCTATTCCGTCAACTTGGTGACTGTACCTGTTTCCTACACTATGCTTCGTCATCATCTCAGTCATATTACAAAATAATTCATTTTTTCGAATTTTTAAAGAATTCAAGACAATTCTGATAAAATATACTTTTAATTGCGACAGGGCCATCTTGAGACTATTAGGCTGACGGTGTCAGGAACGTCTTTGATAAAAGCAAACAAGGACTTTCTGTGAAAAGGTTTATTGTATTGTGATAATTTGTAAGCACTTAACTCGAAGGTCTTTTCTTTCTTCCCTAAGATGTAAAGGGTACTTGTGTACTTTGTGTTATTTCATAATTCCACATTAAATTTCAGACAAGCAGTTGTGTATTTTAAGTTTTTGTTAATTTGTTAAATGTCTGGTAATTTTACCTCTCATCAACAATTTAAGAGGAAGTGATAAATTTGTGATAAATTACTCAGCCGCCGTTAGCATTACGATGCCCATTACTCTAATATGTGTAGACCAGTAGTTTGTCAAGTAGATAATTTAGAAAAAAGAATCCGAAAAAAGTAGTTCTTATCAATATATCTCATTTTAATTTTAAATCATCATTTAAATGAGTCAGATTTTGAGTCTCTATACTCCGGTCATTAAGCAGTTAACATCGATTTCGGACAATTTCCTTGCACACGAAGCTAGACAAAACCAAACCCCTGTTTTGCTCAGAAAAATGTCGTTATTTTCTGTCCTGGTTTTACGTGACCTTAGAATCTGACATGGGTTTGATACTTGCCCCATTTATGTGGAAATTGGTCGGTTGGCTTAAGGTCAGGTAGAGGTGAAGATCGCCACTGGTCAGCTACATCCAGCAGGTGCTTGTCCGTGGTATCTCAAACACCTTCTTACCGTTAGTGCAGAATTAGTTCACCCTTTTCGCGTGTCATTAAAAGTTTCAGCGATCCATTCATTTATGTTTACCGCGATGTTGACTTTGAAGTCGATATTTGTTTCCATAGAAACTCGAGACTGGTTATTTTCTGGCGTTGATGTTATATATTTTTATTACTCAAGGCGAACTTTTACCTTTCAACTATTATTGCGTTAGATTAGCCATGGCATAGTAGTTCCTGGTCTCGTTCAAGACTATACATGGATTACGTCCTACTGTTGCTGCTGCTGCTGATGATGACAGAAATAATAATGATAGTGGTGATGATGATGCTTGTAAACGTGGTCGTACGGATAGTAATGACGATGACGTTGATGGTAGAAATAAAGAGGTAACTGCTGGTGCTGATAAAGACAGTCGTGTGGTGAGGATGATAGAGATAATGATAGAGACGAGGATGAGGATGATGATGATGATGACGATGACGTTGATTATAGAAATAAACAGGTAACAGCTGGTGCTGATGAAGACAGTGGTGTGGTGAGGATGATAGAGATAATGATAGAGGTGATGATGATGATGATGCTGATGACGATGACGTTGATAATAGAAATAAAGAGGTAACAGCTGGTGCTGATGATGATGATGATGATGATGATGATGATGATGATGATGATGACGATGACGACGACGCAATACTATATAAACGGGAACGGCCAGCATATTATTTGCATAACCATCTCATATGGGCCGGGTGTCAATGGCCACAAATCGAGCAACATCGCTGGTGAGAGGAGGCGACGTATATGTGATTGAGCTTTAGTGAGGTTCTGATCATGGACAAAACATTTAGAAACATCAATTACGACTTAAATTACAGCAGTATATTGGTAAGCACAGATGGTTAAATTGTCCAAGTCACAAATCATCGTTCAGAATGTCTCTGGTTTGAATCCCATATTTACCCCACTGTTTGGTTTACCAAAACCATACCCTTGATCAACACCGTGGCACAGTGTTAAGAGTGTTCGTTTGTCCCGCACATCAACGGGTTCGTTTCCCTTCTTGGAAACATTTTGCATCTGAAAGCAGAATTACTGATGCACTGTAAAATAATATTCACTCGCCCTACTAGGGGGTAATGACCAGGAGCGCATTTTAAGGTTTGTTTTGTCACTTTGCACACGTCAGCGACTGCAGTAACCATAGTAACCCCTAATCCTATCCAATCTCTGCTTACGTAAAGCTGAGCCGCTGTTGCAACAGCGAAACTCTCCAAAAACGCCTCACAAACATTCTTTTTGTCGAAATGACGAACGTCTTCTTAACGTCAGATGTTCTTAAATATTTGCCATTAATTAGACAGTCTTGCAGCCGAAACACGACCGGGGTGGTGTGTTGTAGACTATGCAAATAAGTGCGAGATACGCCGGTCCTTCTAACCTACATCAAAGCGGTAAATTTACTTCCTTACGTAAACCCTCGTTAGATGTTGGGTGTGATGGTGTTGTCACGTGGTCTGAGTTGATCACTGTATTAGAGGCGTGTTTGGTGAGTGAGTCAGTTAGCAGTCGGGGTGGAAGTTTCCAGGGATGATAGAAGAAAGGGGATTAACTGTCGTGCGGTTCGAACACTGTCTGAAGCTCGCGGCGTGTTATATTTTATATGTTTAAACTGGACAGTGAATTGTTGAATATATTTATTGTGTCCCCGTGCATTTTGTTGCCAGGACATCCGAGTAAATTCACACTTACTATTGCTGGAACATTGGGGTAAATCTATACTCACTATTGCTGGAACATTCGAGTAAATCCATATT